AGTGTGTCATATTCTGTTAATTTTGGGCTGTCGAAGGAGGGAGCACACCTTAGGAAATAGGTCAGTCTGGGCAAAGCCAGGCACCTTGTGAGAAGGTACAAAGCATCGTGGGCGTCCAAAGCCCCTTTTCTTCCCTCCATCCTCCTCAGGTCTTTCAGCTTTTCTTCGAGGACTACCTCAATGGCGCGGGGGAGGATACTGCTTCACAGTCTTTATGAGGGTGTCATGCTGCTGGACACCTTTGTTGACCAGGAAAGTAGCTGTGTTGATGGCTTCAGGGTGGCTACTGCAAGATTCAGGAACTCTTAAAGCTCTTCTAAGGTCGTTGGTTGCTTCACATTCCAGAAGATAGTGAAGTAATGGCTTTTCTGTGACAGTTTGGCAGAAGATGCACTCTCTCTGTCGGGGTTCACCAATCTCCCAGTTGCATCTGTAACCTAGACGTAGTTTATATAACCTAACTGCTATTTCCCAGTGGATTCCTTTTGGGATATTTAACCTTTCTAATTTGGTTGTCTGAAGATACCATGTTGCAGAGGGCGAACCTTCAGCTATTCTCTGGTGTAGGTAGGCTTTGTTGAGGTGTGAGAGTTTTTTGGTGATGATGTTTTTTATGTTCTCTAGGCTGGGTTGAATTGTTTTATGTATCACTGGATGACGAGTTGCCAATTTAGCAATTTCATCAGCTTTCTCATTTAATGGGATTCCAACATGGGATGTGATCCATTTTAAGGTTATGTTGAGTCCTTTGCCTTTAGCGACTGCTCCAAGATACAAAATGGTGGTAATTATTTCCACGTTATCTTTCCACTGTTTTTGTCCCAGTATTTGAAGTGCAGCTTTTGAGTCTGTGTGTATGATTGCATTTTGAGTGTTTTGTGGAATCACATATGCGAATGCCTGTTGTATGGCAAACAGCTCAATTTGGGTTGATGATACTAGTCCTCCCAGTCTCCAATATGCCTGTACGCTGGCCGTGCAAAGAGCAGTGCCAGCACTTTCATATTCTGTGTCCACCGATTCGTCTGTGAAGATGTGGGTGGCTCCTGCTACTGCAATGCTGTACATTTGCTCTTCTATTATGAGCCTTAGGATTGTTGGATCATAGGCAGCCTTTTTCATTGGGAGACTTTCTATTAATATTTTGAAAGTAGGCTCTTCCCACGGTGCGGAAGGAGTGTAATTTGGGTGTGGTTGATCACCCTCTCTATCAAGAATCATGCTTTTTAAATGTAGTCTGTTTAGGACTTTTCCTGCTCTTGCAGCCCAGGAGTTTCCATTGTTTTGGCCAAGTCCAACCACCAAGGCCTGCCGTACTGGGATTGGATCAGGAGAAATAATTATCTTACTGATAATTGTAGCTGTCCTTTGTGATATTCTTTCTTGAAGAGTGGGCAAACCCGCCTCCAGTCTAAGAGTTTCAAGCCTGGTCCACATGGGGGGCTCCCAGTGCGGCTCTCATAGCATTGTTTTGGGCAACTTCAAGCTTTTTTCACTGTTGGAGTGATAGATTTGTGAGTGCAGGTGCGGCATAGTCGATCACTGATCTGACTGCCTGTACATAGTATATGCGAAGGACTTGCAGATTGGCTCCTCTAAAGAGGGAGGTTAGCGACCTGAGGATTGCCGTCCGGGCCGCAGTTCGCTCTCTCAAGTAAGTGACCTCAGCATTAAAATTCATGTGTCTGTCAAGGATTATTCCTAGATACTGACAGGTGTCCACCCATTTAATTGGTTGACCCTGTACTGTGAGTAGGATGTTGGGCTTCGCTATTTTTATGGGCATGGCTTTTGACTTTGAGGGGTTGAGTTTGATACCAATCTGTTTTGCCTCTTTACTGATGAAGTCTAAGCATTTGGGTGCAAGGCGCGCCGCATCCCTTCCTTTTATGATGATGACAAAGTCGTCCGTGTAGTTTAGCAGCCTGCAGTGATGTGGAAGTTTCAACCTCATTATTCTTTCCATTAAACAGTTGAAGAGAAGGGGGCTGAGAATACCTCCTTGCCGTGTACCATTTTCATGTCTTTTGTACTCAGAGACTGTGCCATGAAGTTTTACTCTTGCTTCTCTGTTTATGAGACAGTTTTTGGTCCAGGAGAGCAGGTTGCCTCTGACCTCTTTGTCAATGAGGCAGCAGAGAATAGCTGGGGCGCTAGCCAGTTCAAAGGCTTTTTCGAGGTCCAGGAATATCAGCATTCCTGGTCTGTCATTCAAGTGGGCTAACAGAGTTGTAATATATTCCACTGTGCCAACCTCTCTTCTATAGGCATACATATCATGGTGCAGTTTAGGCATTTTCCACTCCAGTCTGTCGAGTGCCATTCTGTCAGCCGTCTTGGCTGGACAGCTTTGGAGAGAGATGGGCCTGGGATTATCTGGATCTTTGGGTTTTGGGATCGGCACTATGTCTGCTCTATTCCAAGCAGAAGGTCTAGTTTGAGAAGTCCAGGCTAAATTAATTAACCTTAGGTATGCAGCGTCTCCCTCTGGGCCGAGGTTTCTAATTATTTTATAGGTTATTTTGTCGGCTCCAAGGGATGTATCCTTGGAGTTTTTCTTAGCCCGATTGAGCTCATCCAGTGTGAAGGGGGCATTAGTATCAGAGACTTCTTCCCATGCTGTAAGGATTCTGTGCCACCTTTCTTCCTCTAGTCCGGTCTGTACTGCTAATACATCTGGTGGAAGTTGATTGCTGACTGCTCTCGCTGCAAACCTGGTTGCCAGTACTTCGGCTTCCTGTTGAAGATACTTGGGGTGTGGGGCTTTAGGTGTTTTATTCCCTTTGGCCCGGTGAATTTGCTGCCACATCTCTCCGAGAGAGGTGTGTTCATTCAGGTGTGAACACCATTCCAGGCACTTTTGTTCTTTTATTAGTCTGGTCTCTTGATCACATGTTCCTTGACCTCACAAACTAAGGTCCTGTTGCGGTCACTTGGCTGCTCTTTGTATAGCTTTCTTCTTCTGTTGAGTCTATGGTTGAGTTCTTTGACACGTTCGCAATAGTACCAATGATCTTTATGGTGTCCGGTGGACTATTTTTTCAGTGGGAATGAGTGGTTGGCTGCACTTTGAATCGCTTTGACAAATTCTTGTTCTGCCTGATTAATATCTTCGGGAAGATCATAGTTTCTATGCGACTCTGAAATGAGGTTTTGAAATCGGTCCCAGTTTGCTAAAGCAAAGTTATAGGCTTCAGATGGATAATAATTTTACATACTCAGATCATGCTTAAATATACTTTTGGGTGAGGTAATAGGACACGAATGTTTTGGGTGAGGTGACAGCACACAAATCAATGGGAAAAGACAGAACAGGAAGATAAAACACGCAATATACCCATTGATTCATGTTCTGTCTTTTCCCATTGATTTGTGTCATGTCACTTTTCCCAAAAACATTTGTGTCCTATCATCTCACCCAAAAACACATATAATCACGATATGAGTATATTACTTTGTCTTTGAAAATGTAAGAAGTGTCTTGCGAAACGCTTCTTGGCGTCAAGCCATAAATAAAGTGTGAAAATTAACTTTAGAGAGGTAATTTTTCAACTATCCCCGACACTGAAGAAAAACATAAGAAATATTGAGAAGATTCGTGTTAGAATTATTAATCTTACCCTTTCGGTCATATTCAACAACACATGTTTACAAGAAAGACTGCTACCAAAATATACTAATATATACATATATACATATGACAGTGTCAGACCACGGAGGAAAATTGAAACAGGAATTTCCTTAAGTACTTTCGTATATTAATACATCTTCAGAAGGCGTCTGAAGATGAAGATCGACTCCTTCTGAAGATGTATTAATATACGAAAGTACTTAAGGAAATTCCTGTTTCAATTTTCCTCCGTGGTGTGACACTGTCACATTATTAATCACGTATTTTTTTTCGTGATATACACACATATATACATATATAAATAGGAACACTTAGTAGTACTCGCGTTCAATATGCATTAAGCCAAACATTAAAAATAACTTATATAAAGGCATATATGCACAATGAGGTGTACCCCACTTCCCGGTGAATAATACACTAAGAAAATGATGCTCTAGTCCAGAAAAATACTCATTACTAATGTATACTTGCTGGTTGGTCAGTGAGTTCTTGTGGTGTCCTTAATGATCATTCAGCGGTTGATAGATCTTAACCCTATCAATCAATTTTTCCATCAAGGCACTTATACCCCAAGGGGTGTATACGCCCAGAGTCTATTTTTGTCCTGTGATGTCTTCAGGACTAAAGTATACATGCTATTTATTCAGAAAATTGTTGTGGTTCCTTCGTAACCATACTCAGGTTGATAAACCCAAAGCCCAACACCAAACAAAAACTCTTCCAACATGACGCCGAAAGGTTCACTCCTTTTCTCGAAGTATATGCACTTGGAGTTTACTTTAGTCCTGGACTAAGTTCTGGACTTGTGTATTCTAACTGGTTGGTCAGATAACCATTTTGGTGGCTTAAATAAGCCTCCTACATTGATAGACCCTTAAGCAATTAGAAATACATTGAGAGATGTACCTCATTTCTAGGTGTAGAAGCCATGAGAGTTTCATTTAGTTCTGGACTAAGCTCTGCGCTTAAAGCTTTCTAACTGAAACCATCCAGAACCCTTGGATGGTTACATCCAGAGGTTGATGGGCCTTAACAGTATACCAAAATCAACTGTTCCTATCAAGAGGTGCAGTTTTCTTCTCAGTGTATATACAATGAGAGTTTACTTTAATTCCTGACTATATTTAGAACTTAAAAAAATTGATAACTTAATAGGTGATTAAGTTATTTTTGTGGCTACTTGCAATTGATATTCTTCAAGCAAAATACCAGACCACGTTTTGAAAAAAAAAAATAATATTATCAATTGTAAGGCATGTGTTGTGAAAAAAAAACTTCCTGAAGTGGGTTAAAATAATCCCTTGTGAAGTGGAAAAGTTTACATTTGATGATATGAAATACTGAACTTCCAAAATTGTCATTTTCTTAGGTTTTGTTTTGGTTCTGGAGGGAGTTGAAAGGGATTCGAACAACAGTGATGATCGAGATGACTGTCCCTACGTGCACGTAGGGGACCAGTGCCTGCTGTTTGTCAACTTCCAGCTGGACACCTATGATGTCGCCCAGGCACTATGTCAAGGTTTTGGGGGGAACTTGGTCGTTATCAAGACTGCCACACAGATGAAAGCCATCATGGACTATCTCTATACTGATGGTAGGTGAATCAAAGTTTTTTTTTAACCTTTACACAGCAGTATCTGTTTCGTGTTTACATCTTGACCAACAACCAAAAATTTACATCCTCACCAACAACAACAAAATTTATATCCTGACCAAAAATAACAAATTTACATCCTGACCAACAACAAAGTTTTAAAAAAAGTTGGTCAAAATTGACAAACAACAAGATTTACGAATATGACCAACTAAAGCTTCTTGATACTCTCATTATCTCCTCGCACAATTTCAACCAAGAAACTGTCAGAGAGGACCGTGTTACCATTGTGATCCGGGAGTTACGTGAAAATATGAATTATGAAATTCAAGCAAGAAACAACAAAGCAGCATATACTGTGGGTACCAAATCACCTGGTTTAAAATAAATAGAAGAATTCGTGTGAAACTAGATAGTGGTACACACAAATCAGACCTTATCAGAGCTTCAGTGTTTAGAAAAACCTCTGTTTATGTGAATGAATGTTTGACCAGGAACTGACAAAATCTTTTCTTCAAACTGTGTCAAAAAATTCAATGGGTTACTTAAACGTTGTTTTGTAAGAGGTAGTAAAATACTAGCTAAGAAGTTTGACACTGGGAAAACCTATGAAATAACCACAGAGACACACCTCAGCTCTTTCCTCACTGACTGTGGGATAATGTCTGAATAACCAGATGCAAAGTGAACCCTATCCCTGGGGTCCTCTACCACAGAACCCTCTCAACCTTATCTAGAAACCAAAGTGTACTCTAGTTCTGCCTTAGATTCAAAAGATATTTAATTGTAATTGTTTTTCTTGTTTATACCACAGTTTTATATAGTTAATTTCCTCATTTGTCAATTACAGAATTGTTATTTGCTATTACACTTATTCCATTTACATAGTTTTAATTGGTAATATCGCTTTTTAATAAATCTAAATTTTACTGTAACTTTTAAAAATTATAGAAAGTTAGATTTACACCAGATTTAGTATTTTACTGTTCTGTAATCGCTTAGTTTACTGAATCCTGACTCCATTGTATGTACATGTAAACTGACATTGACCCTGAACATAAGAACAGAGGGAATGAATGGTTGTCGAGGGCATTTGGTGTCAAATGCCGGCTGGAAAGATATTGCAAATCAAATGCAATATCTTTCATAGAAAATTGGGAACACTTCATGGAAGAAATGGAAGAGAACACATGGAAGAAATGAAATGTATGCTCGTGATGGGGTGCATCTATCGAGGGCTGGGGCTATTGCTGTTGCGAACTCGTTGGAACCAAGTGTGTGGTGTGTTTAAAGTGTGTCTCAACATATTAAACAATATATCATAGTGATTACCATCCGACCGTTTGTGTTCAAGGAAAAATAAGTGAAATTCGTGTGTAGTCAACGCCTGCCCTCGTGGTGCCAGGAGGCCTTAGGCGATAGTTGCCAAGTCCTCATAAAATCACATCCCTCGCTATTGAAACATCAAGAAATCAGTGCACATAGTGCTAAGCTCTCTTTGCAAAACGTGTGTCTATTATAAAAAAAATAAGATAACATATCTTAATATCAAGTGAACAATTTATACACAAAATAATTCCGTCGTGTGTATGTAAACAAGGGCCATTTGGAGGTAGGCCCACCCCAGTACCCACTGTCTGTGTATTCTTCCAAATAGTGTAACGTACTCAGGTAACTAGTGCCTAGACACAGAAACTAGACGCCTCTACTGTAAGATAACTAGTGGGAAAATGCAAGTAATGTAATCTAACAAGTGAACAAAACAAATTAAGAGTGCGACACGTGGTAACAACACTGCCAGTCCATACAGCCTCCTCCAGGCCTGTCTCAAGTTGGTAAACACCCACGGTCAATACCCACGGTCAACCCCCAACGGTCAACACCCCACCTTGTAAGACCTTGTAAGACCATCACCACTGAACAGAAGTGTTCAACAAAAATGGCTTTGATAAAAACGTGCATAGAATGCAACATGAAGGTAGATTACCAACAGAGCTTTCAATGTCAATTCTGTTCAGCAGCCATACACAAAAAATGTGCCAACATGACTAATAATTCAAGGAGAAATGGTCCCAGTGACCACTCTGTGTACTGGCTCTGCAAAAAGGATGATGTAACTTTTTTGAAGATGATGGAAATCCTGGACAAAACTCCCGCCGAAAACAGAGAATCACTAATAAATGCCTGCATAGCAATTTCTAATGTCTTCAAACAAACTGTACATGACACCAAGGTACAACCAGATGCAGCACAGAGCTTGGTGGCAGCGGTGCCCGAGCAAAGCGGGGAGTCGGGGACGCCTGAGCAGAGCGGGGAGTCGGGTACGTCTGAGCAGAGCGGGGAGTCGGAGACACCTGAGCAGAGCGGGGAGTCAAAGACGCCTGAGCAGAGGGCGGTGTCAATGGCGCCAAAGCAAAGCGCGGTGTTGCGGGCACCGGAGCAGAGCACGGTGTCGATGGCACCGGAGAGAGCGCGGTGTCGCAGGCCCCAGAGCAAAGCACAGTGTCGGGGACGCCGCAGCAGAGTGCGGTCCCTGGCAAAGGGACACAAACAAAACAAGGCCCCAAAATCTGTTGGTATTACAAATGGGCAACCTGTAAGCATGGGATATCGGGAAGAAGAAATGGAACATGCAAGTACGATCACCCTAGAACGTGCAGTAACCTCCTCAATACAGGTAAATGTACCAAAAGCTGTGAATTCTTTCACCCAGAAATTTGCAAGAACTCTTTGGACAGGAAAGAGTGCTTCAATGCTGAATGTCCAGCTTTTCATATAAGAGGTACCAGGCAAATAAAACCGACAGACCGCCACTATGAAAACAGCCACTACTCCATCGACCGGGATAATTTTTTAGCAAGAGGAGGAGGAGAAGAATGGCTAAAAATGACCAGACTCTACCACCAACTCGGTCAAATGCTAGAGAGGACGCAAACACAGTGGCCTTCTTACCAGAGCCCCAGATATTAACACCAAGTAAGGCATCCATCACTTCCACTAACACGATAACATCATTTATATTTGCCAACATCCAGGGTATTAAAACACGCCAATCCAACAAATTTCACTTTATAGATGGTCTCCTTCATGAGGCAAATGCAGTGTTTGCAGCCCTAACGGAAACCCACACAAAGGACTACCATGATGGAGAAATATGGATCTCAGAGTGCAATCTTTTCAGATGTGGTAGGAAACACCGGCTTCAGGGTGGGGTCAGCCTCTACATCAAAGACACACTCATCTGTACTGAGCTGCTAAACACCTCAAATGATATGGTGGAAGTGTTGATAATCAAAATAGAGATCCTAAATGTAGTTATTGTCCTTGTATATAAGTCACCGGAGGCAAACCCTCAGCAGTTTAAAGATCAACTAATGAAAATAGAACACTGCTTGGAAACCTCACAAATCAAGCTCCGAACATCATCCTGCTTGGGGACTTCAACCTACGGCACCTGAAATGGAAGCAACTGGCTAATACAGTTATATCAGAAAGAATACCAGGAAGAAAATGAACAGGCACATGCAAATGACCTGCTACGGATGTGCGACACGTTTGCCTTAAACCAGCAAATAGTAGAACCAACTAGGAAGGAGAACACGCTGGACCTCATTTTCACTAATAATGATGAATTGATCAGGAACATAATGATTACAAATACCTGTTACTCAGATCACAACTTAATTAGAAATTATGACAACCATGGGGAATAGACCTTCAAAACCAGTCCAGATTCCCGGTGGAGGAGATTTCAGCAATTTCAACTTCAATAATAAACAGATAAACTGGGAGCAAATAAACCAGAACTTCACAGAAATAAACTGGGAAGATCAGCTAAAAAATGCAAACCTGAACCAATGCCTGGAAAAAATAAGCTCAGTAGCACTAGAAATATGTTCAAACCGCATACACCTAAGAAAAAAGAGGAAGAGATGCAGATTGGAACGGAACGACGTTCCCTATATATAGGCGAAGAAAAGGAATCTCGGAACAACTTGAGAGTCGCACCCTATCTCAAGAACGGCGAAGAAGGTTAGGTAGAGAAATAGAAACAATTGAACGGAAGCTACAAGAATCATACAAAACCCAGGAGAGGCAAAGAGAGCAAAAGGCCATCAGTGAAATAGAGAGAAATCCGAAATATTTTTTCTCCTATGCAAAATCAAGATCAAAAACCACATCTAGTATCAGGCCCCTGCGAAAGGGAGATGGAACTTTCACGATGACAACAAAGAAATGAGTGAGCTACTGAGGAAGCAGTACGACTCTGTTTTCAGCGAGCCATTAAACGCACTAAAGATTGATAACCCAAATTAATTTTTCATGGACATGATACCAACATCAAATCAAATATCAGACGTCACCCTATCCCCACTGGATTTTGAAGAAGCCATAAACAGTATGCCTATGCACTCTGCACCAGGCCCGGATTCTTGGAACTCCATATTCATCAAGAACTGTAAAAAACCACTATCACAGGCCCTCCACATTCTGTGGAGACAAAGCCTAGATACTGGCGTTATCCCTGATATACTAAAAACAGCAGAGATAGCACCACTTCATAAAGGAGGAAATAAGGCGGAGGCAAAAAATTACAGACCGATAGCACTAACATCGCACACCATAAAAATTTTTGAGAGAGTGCTAAGAAGTAAGATCACAAAATACATGGAATCACAGCATCTTCATAACCCCGGACAACATGGTTTCAGAACAGGGCGCTCTTGCCTGTCGCAGTTGCTGGACCACTATGATATGGCATTAGATGCTATGGAAGACAAACAAAACGCGGATGTAATTTACACAGATTTCGCAAAAGCTTTTGATAAATGTGACCATGATGTTATTGCACATAAAATGCGTTCAAAAGGAATTACCGGAAAAATAGGCAGATGAATCTACAATTTCCTGACCAACAGAACCCAATGTGTAATAGTCAACAAAATAAAATCCAGCCCATCAACCGTGAAGAGCTCAGTCCCCCAGGGTACTGTGCTTGCTCCAGTACTTTTTCTGATCC